CGATTATCTTTTGAGGGCCATTCCGGTGACCATTTTTAAAAGTTTCCGGGTTGATTTTATATCCGTGTTACAGTAGCGTGAAGTTAGTTACACACTTCAGAACCAAATTTTACCAGCAATTTGCACAACGGTTTCGGTTCCAAGCGAGCGGACATGCCATTGGTTCCGGTTCAAACCCCTGATCAAAAGTCATGCGTTAAGTTAATAATTTATTAAAGACCTTAATAATAAATTACTACAACTAAATGAAGCGATTATTCTTACACTCGTTCTGCTTCTGGATATTTAACTCGAGATTGTTTATGAAGGTTCTGATCGGCGGACGATCCGAATTGGGGATGAATTTACTAACGATGCCGCTCTGGTGGCTCGTATTACTGATCCTGTAGTGCTCGTGCAGGACGTTGTTGCAGCTCAGTTTGGGCGCCTGGTTGCACTGGCGCGGGCTCTGAGGAGTGTGGCGGTTGACTAAGCCCGAAGTACGGTAGTACGGTTGATACTTACGTGCGCGATGGGCTTAGGTTCGTTGGGGATGACCATATGATAGTGGGGTGAGCACGGTCTGGTCCACTGATGACATATTCTGTTGTAAAGGTAAATGAATTGACCCGGTTTACTTTCGCGCTGAACGGGCTGGGGTGGTGGTGAAGGCTTTGGGGGCGGCAAGGGGCGAGGGGAAAGAGGTATATCATAAATAGCCGTGTAATTTGGAGGCGATCGGTTTGAGGCACGTTTGCGCCTGGGGGTTGATTTTTTCAGTTCGCGCGTATTTGGCGAACGAGATCGGGCGGAATCGTGTGATTTTTGCGAGGTTTGAGTTCGCGCGGACAGTGATGGACATTCAGAACTGGACAAATCACCGACGCAGATACATCTCGTTGACGGACCCGATTTTCTACTACGCGAAGCCTTTTCACGATTTGTACCAACAGATTTGGACAACGTTTCCACACAGATACACCTGGTTGACTTTCCCGACCTGACCGCACCAGGTTTCCTCGCAGTAGAAGTCAGTGATTTGGCGTCAACCTGCACTGTTCTGGAAGATCTCTTCGGCACGCCATAGGTCGGTTTCCGCAAAACTGGAACTTGAGATCGAACAATACCAGGCGATTTTTTCGCCGATCCCACAGCGATGCCGCTTTTGGGCCTACAACTACATTTGGATTTTAGAGACCTCTGCGACGTTTTCGCTTGCAACTTAACGTTGCACTTCTTCGCTGAAATTTTGACGTTCTCCATATCGTCCATCTGAAATGAAAATTCGATTGGGAACGTTATCGAGTAGGCACTAGTCATACTGTTTCCTCCATGCGGCGAATTCGCTCGCGCAGCTTAGCCATTGTCCCATCCTTGGACTCGCACTCGTTTGTCGCCTCCTCGAGTTGCTTTTTCAAGTTCTCTACGTCGCTCTTCAATTTCCTGATCATCTCATCTTTCACCTTCGCTTCAGCTGCACAGTTATTTTCTTGGACCACCGCATCTTCGCGTAATCGCGCGATGACCCCCTTCCCCGTTGCCAACTCCCTCTCTACGCCTTTACACTTTTCTCTCAGTTCCTCCATATCGATTTGCATTTGGTTAATCACATTGTCTTTCCTCTCGCTTTCCCTCAGGCATTCTCTGTGTCTTCTTTCCAGCTCATCCATACTTTTTTGCATATCTCTAATCACGTCGTCTTTCATTTCTAACTGTGCGCAAGCACCCTGGTATTGCGTCTGTGCCTTTTGCAAGCTCTTCCGAAGCCGGCCGAGCTCACCCGCCGCCTCGGTCAGCTCCACCACAACCGAATTCGACTTCTCCAACGCCTTTGGCTAAAAAAACGTTTCTGAAAGTGATCTTCTTTTACCCCACATTTTTTTAATAATAAAAATGCGAAAACTTCTAGAGTTCAGAAAATTAATCAAAAGAGAAATTTTTTTAATATAAACAATTAAGCAAAACGCCACTCACCTTTTCTTTGAGTACCTGTAACTCCAACTGCAACTTTTGCACCAGATAATCCTTTTCTTTGAGTTCAGAGAGAACTTGATCGTAATCAGCTTGCAACTGACGCACTTTTTCGCGCAACTCTTCGACCGGCGGCACATGTACCACGTCGTAAATTTCGGTACTTACCCTCTTAACGGAGTTGATTTCTTCTTCCTTCAGGCGCAATTTATGCTGCAACGCCTCCAGGTCGTCTTGCTTGGGCGATTCGCTAATCCGCTTCTCGAGGTCCTTCACTTTACTAAAAAGGCAAAACTCAATTTTGGCCCACATGAGCTCTTTGCTTACGAGTCCAATTCGGTTACATTCTTGTTGGCCTAAAAATAAAAAAGGGATCTGTAGTGTTCGACTCATTCAGGTTTGCTCTAAGCTACTTGGAAATCAAATGCGTTTGTGAGTGTTTTGGTTTATTTCAAACGTTTACAAGTCATTAGTTTTTTGCTCAACTACTTCCAAAATGACTCTCAGCTTGCTATCGCTCCCTTTCTTCACCCGTCGGTGTAAACTGTCAGTAATCTTCAACGAGACGTTATCCTGGCGCTCAGGGGGCGTCGGGCTAAAATGAACGAGTTCCCCCAACCCCTTTGTACTTCAAATCATACTTACGGAATTAAGGAACATTCACATTTTAAAAGGAAAGTATCAGGATTGACTGTAAAAAATTTTAGACCGTTAGCACTCCACCGGTTTTCGTCACGAGCGCGTTTTATAACTTCAACTAAACTACGCACATCACTCTCAAGCAAGCGTATCCTCTGCAACGGCAAAGGTTACCACGCCGGCCTCCAACCCCCAAAAGCCTACCTTCTCACTGGAAAGTGTCGACGTCTCTAGCTTCTTCGCGAGCAGCGCGACCTTATCCGCCGCCTCCTTCTCCAAGCTCTCGACGATCTTCACCAACATCTCATTCTGCTGGGTCAGGTCGCGTATCCAGTCCTGCTGCAGATTCACCCGGCGCTGCAAGACCAACCGTCGTGAAGGCACCCGCCACGGCTTTTTTTACCTGTAAGTTATCGCCGCCTCCAATGTTTCCGATCTCCCTCAGCTTGGCCTGGTACGTTCGATTGAACTCCTGGATTATCGCCAGTGTTTCCGTTTCGCGACATATCCGGTCGCCGAGATTGACTTGGCAGCCATCCGGGCCGAATTTGATTGGAATTGTAAATTGGGAACTCATTCTGTCGACTGTTACAAAAATTTCGGGTTCATTTCGTTTTTGAACATCTTCGAAACATAATCTGTCATATTAGAGTGTCGTTTGTTAGTGGTATGGCGGCTTGATTTTATCGAAACGTATACGTAGACCCGAAATTAAATTTCGTAGGGATTCTACAAATTCCAAGGTGGAATTAAAAAGTGAAATTGGACAACACGCGTAAAACATCTGACACCACTGTGCTTAACTTGTTTCTGCACACTTTATTTTGATACCGAAAAATTAGGCTTTCTCATAAACAGGCTGACTGACCGTAAAAAATTCGCGTAAACAAAAAATACACGCTCTTCAACCGTCGCAAAGCTATTTCGTTGTCTCCAGTATTTAACGAACTACCACTTACACTACAACCCCTTTAAAAATTTTTAAGTAAACCGCCAATCACAGCGGAACCTGCCAAACGTTCCCACTTCTCCAATATAAAACGCTCAATTTTTCGAAACGTTTTTCGTTATCAGAACCAGATGTGTATTGTGCATTTGCTTGAAATTAAATAACTTTTGCCTGATAATAAAGCTACTTATCGCAGGCGACCAGATGTGACTTCTAACACCTTATCTAAATTGAACAATTTACAAAAGCTATAAAATTAAAACGAAAAAATTACGCATATAAAAAATTTCTAAGAGGAAAAACAAACGCTGAGATACAAATTCAAGTAAAATAAACCAAGTTTGTGTTTGTTCGTAAATAACCCCCTCCCACAGATTGACTTAATACATTGAAAAACTATCGTATACAGGATGTGTCGTCATTATCTCTGGTGTTCGGTATTTAGATCTGCTTTTTCTGCTTAGGTAATAGCCTAAAGCCCCTTGCAAGAGACGGGTTATCCTGGACTGGTTTAATTTAAAGTCTATCACATAAATTATTATCAATAGCGATAAATGCAGGTAAAGCAGAACTACATATACATAAAAATCACGTTTAAAAATCAAAGGTGTGGGGTTGTGTACACAATAATAACAAAACAGGACTCATCAACGTCGTAAAAGTCAAACCAAGACGTACGTACCTATGTGTTTCAATATGGCGATGCCCATCGCGTCAGTCGTCCATGTCTAGTCTCTATTCCTCAAACGTCAATGATGAATCGAAACATAAGGTGCAACAACGAACACCCGCCACCACAAGTTTCATTACATGCTGCCATATTGCACGTTGCAGCTGTAGTATGTACGAGGCTATATAGTTCATAAATAAGGAAATTCATTGAAATCGTGTTTTAAGTGTTGAGCTTAGATAATAGACCCCTATTGTGCGAGCTAAAAATAACGGAATAATTTCTACATCGCCTTAAAAAACTAAATATTTCCGAGGAAAGAATGGGATTTTACATCTGGATTTAATCTTGGTAAACAAGGAGACAAGATGTCAATTTCCGTACTGTTGAAATCTTGTATAAAGTTTTGTTTCTAACTCGAATAAAAACTTTGGAAAGGTACAACATTAAATTTCTGCAGTACTTTTAATAAAAATATAAGTTGGTACATCGCTTTTGACATAGAAATACTTTATTCAAATTTTATGTAAGATTTGAACATTTTTAAGGTATTAGCAATTCAAATTTTTTCTTAGCAAAGTAAACAACTTGCTCGATGACATATTCTGTCCTTCTAGTTAAGAAAATCAACATCGTTCTTTTTGAATTTTTCTTATAATATACAAACTACCCCGCATATGTAAATGTGAGAAGCCCCTAGCTACCTATTCTGAATCTTAAATTTGTCTTTGTGAAGCTTATAGTAATTTTGCTTACATCTCGTATTTCTGTCTTAGACTGAATTGATTTTAGGTGTGAAGGGTGTTGGCGGAACGGAACAAGCGTGGGGCCATGTTACGGTCCGACCCCATGCTCACATGTTCTGGTGGTTGTACTACACCACCGCGAACGTGTCTCACTTTACGGAACGTCCATTAATAATATGGTTGCAAGGTAAGTGTGATCATTCAAACTTTTCAGCTCGTCGAAGAATATTCGTGACAAGCGTTTCACTTATCAACAATTTCCTCTGGACACGTCAAAGATCGATATAATATTAAACAGTCACGTTTCCAGAAATGTGCCGTTCACGGAGTCGTGAGATGTTAAATTATATATTAGTGAGTAGGTAACGGAAAATTCGCATGATAAACGACGCTTCTAGGCTTAATGAAGGTACATTTATAATTGCACCATTTACATTATAAGCCATTTGAGGAATTTCGGTGGTGTAATTTCAAATTTAAGACACACATTTTTTTAATAAAGTGACAAATAAATTAACGTAAATGAAATAAGAATACCCTTGTAATAAATGCTCATACATTTAACAGAAAATAAACATTTTCTTTAACAATTCGAGGACACAATAGGTATATCTTCTGAATTGGATCTAATCAGTCACATTTTCGAGTTTATTAGTAATTAGTAGGTACCTACAGATTAATTCAATTTTCAAAATATTTTCGCACGTCAATGTTAGGTCCCGTAGGTTACTTGTTTAGAGTACCTACACGTTAGCCATTCGTGTAAATGCGAAGGTCTTTACTAGTTGCTTTGGACTGCAGTGAAGTTTGATGAAACCTATTATGTCACAGTTACGTAATTGCAATAAATCTATTTACTCAGTATTATATTAACAAAGTATCACTTTTGCTTTTGAAATAACTTAACTGGTCGATCTTTGCGAAAAATGTTGATTTGAATGGGGAAATTTCAGAGTTTTCACCCTAAAATTGTTTAAATTAATTATCTAAGCGTGTTTACGCAAATGGTAGCTGTATCCTCTTTAGGTAAAGTTATTTTAATAGAATTCGGATTTGTTAAAACGTTTATTTATAGATTCTGGTCCCAACTTTTCACTGCTGTCTGTGTGCCATGATATTGGTCGGTGGTCTCTACTGACTATCTTTATATGATCTTCTTAGTCTCAATTACTTGACAGCATTGATTGTCGTTCTACCGTAAGAATTATTTGGCCTTTGACCAAGTCGTGCTTTATCTTTGTAGCTTTCATATTATGGGTACTCTTTGTTATGGGTCATATGTTTACGTTATGCATTCAGATCATCAGATCCCTGTAGGTTTGAACCTCAATTGATGCACCCCGAAGAAAACACACAACAGCACGACAACACGATGACAATTTTAACATTGCCTGAGTACGGACATGGCTTGATAGAAGTCCAAAATCGAGCGAAAGGTCCAGCTGTTATGAGGTCGTCGGCGCTCTCTAAGGATGCCTCATCGTCGTCTCATCCCTACCGATTCCAAACCACCGAGGTTGTACGGCCTACCCAAAATTCAGAAGCAAGTAAATCCTATTTCCTCTTCGTCCCATACTCGCCTCTATCTCGCCAAACATGTGTTTCTTATGACCCTGAACCTGAAAGTTACTGAAGAGCTATCAATAGTATATCGGAAGACAAGTGTTACAATGCGACCTATTGTAATACTCCTATCTTGTGGCACGAGTGGCGTAGCAAAGCGGAGCCACGAGTGTCGACAAGATACATAACATGAGAAAGTGCACGAAGTAATAAAAGCATTAACCTTTGCAAACAAAATTTAACTCCTCTAATTAGCTGCTACTTAATTAAGTTGTTTATATCTAATTAAACGCCTATTATACAAGTTTGTCCTTATTTCACGTAAGGATTCGAATAATAGGATTCAAACTAGTTAGAGCTTTATGTTATTACTTTCAGCGAGTTTCCTGATTTTTATCAGATGTAAGTTTTCACAAGTGCACCTGTTTTAGGAAGCCATTATTTATAATTTATGAATATAGGTACATCATTCATGTCAAGGTTCACGTCAATTTTACATGAAAGAGGTGATATATTACGCTAACTTTAAAATAATTACGAATACATTTTTTATGAGATGAAATCTTGTACACTGGGATGGTCGTAAAGCTTAAACATAAAAGGGATGTTAAGACTTATTTGAAATGAAGATGGTTGAAGTTGAATGCTGTGGATCAAACGACACAGAATATTAGGCTTTAAAGAGACATAACATGAGAAAGTGCACGAAGTAATAAAAGCATTAACCTTTGCAAACAAAATTTAACTCCTCTAATTAGCTGCTACTTAATTAAGTTGTTTATATCTAATTAAACGCCTATTATACAAGTTTGTCCTTATTTCACGTAAGGATTCGAATAATAGGATTCAAACTAGTTAGAGCTTTATGTTATTACTTTCAGCGAGTTTCCTGATTTTTATCAGATGTAAGTTTTCACAAGTGCACCTGTTTTAGGAAGCCATTATTTATAATTTATGAATATAGGTACATCATTCATGTCAAGGTTCACGTCAATTTTACATGAAAGAGGTGATATATTACGCTAACTTTAAAATAATTACGAATACATTTTTTATGAGATGAAATCTTGTACACTGGGATGGTCGTAAAGCTTAAACATAAAAGGGATGTTAAGACTTATTTGAAATGAAGATGGTTGAAGTTGAATGCTGTGGATCAAACGACACAGAATATTAGGCTTTAAAGAGACACTTACTGTATGTATGAAGGTTATGAAGGTAGTACAGTACATGACTATGGTTGAATTTAAACATCCTTAGAAGTTTTATCAGTCCCTGAGAAACCTTAAGAGCATGTGCAAGTGGTGAATGGTATTTTAGTCTGGGTTTAATCGCCTTTAGGAACCTGTGAGACCATTACAGAGTCTTCTAAGACTTGCTCAAGTGTTCTAGCCTTTGAAAACACTTAGGGGCCACTAATGTCATTCACAAATTTTCTTCATGTGTTCATGAGTCTCCAACAGTCTAAAGAACTTTCTGAAGGCTTTTAAAGACCTACGCTTTTATTAATCTTCAAGGGTGTTCAAGGCTGTTGAGGTTTTGAGTAGCATCTACGCACCTTCAACATTCAAGAGTGTTTAAGTGCTTTCAAGTATATCTAAGGGTCTTCCAATCTTTCAAGAGTCTTCGCCAAATATTAAAATCCATCAAGACGCGCCTTAGAGCTTTTGTAAGCCGTTAAGAGGTTTTAATCGTGTCTAAATCAATTTAAGAGTATTTAATATTCGAACTTTGAACAGTGTGTAAGACCCTTTATGAGCTTTAAGAGAATTTGAATCCAGTTAAGTGTCTTTAAAGGCAACAGTTGCGAAAAGTCTCCTAGACTCCATAAGTCTTTGCGACTTTGCAAAGCTTCATAAGTCTCTTAAGGGTTTTCTAGAGGCTTTGACGGCATTTAGTTAACTTGTAGAATCTTTAAGTGTGTATCAAGGTCCTCATGCACCTTTGACCTTGACAATCTTTTAAACCCGTAGAGCTTTTATGGGTCTATGAAAATCTTCTAGTGTCTCAAACACTCTCCAAGTACACAAAGACGTCTCAATTCCCCTTGAAACTTTTGACATGCTCTTATCTGCGTAAAATCCAAACCTTTCCGAGATTTTGTGGGTCTTCCAAAGCTTTTGAGAGCATTCAGAGCATTTAATAGCTTTAAGGGTCGAACCTTAACAGATATTTACTATATAGTCATCTAGCATCTTTTAGTGTCTCCGCGCGATTTCGAGAGCTTTCAAGAGAAGCCTTTAATACATATTTAGCGGAAACCCGGTCCTTAAGGAGATTTTACGTGTCCTTGAGAATATTTAAGAACTTCTCCGAGTGAAAAAGCTCTTATGAGACGCCTACAGCATCAAAGAGAATAATGTACATAAAGCTTTTACTGTTTAAAGAGTTTAAAAGCTTAGCCTTTCTTTAAGAGCGTCTTTAAAGGTCTTCCAAAACCTTCTAGGAGCTGAGTACTGAAAAACTAATCCTTATCTGTCGATTTCTTCGGAAGGTTTTTGCTGCATTTGAGGTGTTTTAAGTCTCTGTTCTCTTCCTACACTTTTTTTACACACTTCTACACAATTATGTTTTAAGATGGAATAGAAGGATAATGAGTTAGAGTGTCCTTTTTTGAGGTGAGCGTTGAGCAGGGTGCTATAATATCAAACACATGAACGTTGCTCTTGCAGAATATCACGATTTACTATAATATAGTAGCTGTTACTTCATTCATCGAAAGGCAAATTTTTATTTCAAAACAGTTTACTGCAATCCAAAGTACAATAAACTAAACAAATATAGAAAGCGAGCTCCTGGGTATGGCTATAGCGTGAGCAAAACAAAATTTTGAAACTGGTTTTAAATTTTCTTTTATTCCAAGTGGCTATGTATCAAAGTTCATTTAAATACCTTCATAAATAAAAAAGTTTGCAATTCGGTTTATAAATGGTGGAGATGCGAAAAGGGCACTGTGAATATTGTCCGATTAGGCTCAATGTTTGGAACTGCTTTTATATGGCTAAAGCTATATGCATATTGAATTTCATGCAATTCGGTCATAACTCACGGAGATGTCAAAAGGGCCTTCCTTATTTTTTGGGATACATTGCCAATTCACGAACTCCGATCTACAAATTTGATAAAGAATCCATCTACTAAATTTTATCGTAATCGGTCCATTCGTTATCGAGATATCGTGCTAACGGACGGGGCGACGGACAGACGGAGAGACAACACAAAATTATAAAATCGCTAGGAGCTCATTAATAATCACAATGAAGATTAATCACAAGTAAACTAAAGAAGTGGTGTGTAGGTGCCTTATATGAACATTCTAATAGTCACTTTAATTTATAGAAGAAGATTTGAGAAAGGCAATCGCAAACCAAGCAACGAAGGCCAGTGTGGATACTCGTTTTTTTCCTTTTGTGTATTTATATGAATTCCCTAAAATCATTTTTAATTAAGAGAATTTATCTTAAATGAAAATTTTTTATGGCAATTATATCAAGCGAGCTTTATTCGCGCAACGCGCTTAATTGGGATTACCCTAATACGGCGGTGTATACCTATACCCACCCTTACGAAAAAGTAAGCGTCACTTTATAAATTAAATTTTAATGTTTACCCATAAAAAGAGCAACATTGTGGCGGAAATTTCACGAAAATGAGATTTCCACCTGACGTTATACCTTCATTTAAATGTGAAACCTTTAGGCACTTATCAAACGTGTTCGCTGCTCATTTAAAGTTTCCCGACCCCCTGAACAAATACACTTTCGGTAAAAGGATAAAACTTAGTCGAGAGTTCTTAATCCATCTAAATTTGTCACGAATATCCGCGTTACCGGTTAATTCCGAACTAATCCATAATACTGCATCAGGCGTATTACAGAATGTCAATTCTAGGCGGGCCTGGAATGCCTTCAAGCGGCTACGGAAATTTTCTGGAAATTGGCCTTCTAAACATAAACTTAACGGAGAAAGATCACTCTTGGGTAAAACATTTCAACATTTTATTCCTTGACAATCCCGTAGGAGTAGGTTTTAGTTACTTTTCAAGTTCCTCCGTAAAAATGGTGCAAAATAATAAAGAAATCGGTCGGGATTTAATAAACTTCTTGAAAACATTTTTAAGCGAGCACGAGGAATTCCAGAAGATTCCACTGTACATTTTCGGCGAATCGTATGGAGGAAAAATGGCCGTGGAATTTGCGTATCAACTTGTACAAGTACGCCATTTGCTTTCACGGCGAGAAACTGTTACGTGTAATGCAATTTTCTTTCAGGAAATTAGGAGAGGCGAAGTGACTGTTCATTTCAAAGGTATAGGGCTCGGAGATGCCTACATTTCACCTATTCACTACATTTTAAATTATGGTTCATTAGCGCTAAATCTTGTAAGTGTATACAAATGCGACCTAATTTATATTCCCGTTTTCCGATTTTAGGGACTCATCGAAAAGAAAGATTTTAATGAAATCAGCAATTTGACGGAGGACGTAAAAGTGGCAATCGAGAGAAGAGATTTTCTGGCAGCGTCTGATATTGAAGCGAAAATTACAGATACCGTCATTAAAGCAACGCAAGGAATTGATGTTTATAATATCGTTCTTAAATCGAACATTTCTGCATTGCCAAGTATAAACCGCCATTGAATGCGAAAAACCTTTGTTAAACTTGTAAAAGATGCTCTTTGGAAACTTCGGACTTGTAGTGTAATTTGGAATAAATTTAATATTAGGGCATGCACGAATGTCATAATAACGCAAAACGTACAAAAATGCACTGAACAAAACCTTTACGTTGATAAATGTGCCGTTATATAATAGGTACTTTCAATTGAAACTTCTCTTGTTCGTTATAAAACTGAGAACCTTTGAAAGTAGTAGCTCTTTTTTAGCCGATCATGCAACGGTCCACCCTTTGATTTTTCAATATTGCTCAACTGGATATAAGGATTTTGGATGGAAAAGTGCAATTACGAGTATAGCGAAGGAGGTAAAAAAACTGAAAAACACTCAGAAATATTCACTAATACGTACCCGTTTCGACACCAAAGCTGTCGTCATCGGAGGACATCTAAAGAGAAAGTAAAAATGTTAGCCCTTTAGTCCTTTATTATTATATTATATGAGGCCGAGTCGACCCCGAGGAGAAACAAGTCAAAGTTTTTTGGTTGAGGGGTTCGGGAATCGAATCTAGCACCTTCGTGTTGTAGGCAAGTATCCTTACCACACGTCTACCGCCTCCCATCAAATCTTAGTCCGTATACTAATTACAAATGAAGGTGTACGAATTGTGGACAGCATAATTGGCCTCCCTCATCATTTACGAAGTGTGTTTCGTAACGCTAGATTGCATTTCAAAGGGCTCTGTTTTTTTTAAAACCATCTTTTAGTGATCTCACTTGATGACAATTTATTTTTACTCCAGGTATATCCTTCCTCTCTACTGAGTATTTTTATGCATGCTTTTTACATGTTCCTCTTTAGTGATCACCTTTCTGAAATAATTCTTACTCTTTCCCACTTCACAAGAACACCCACAAAATGGCGCCAAGTAATTCAGTTAGCCATTCTTAATCACCAATTAATCTGATTCGTTTGGATCAACCAATTATGAGAGCGCTAGGGTCCATAAGTCAAAATCTCGCGACCGTTGTATTCCGCGGGACTCGCAGTGAGATCATTCTGATTGAACAGTTTTGGGAACGTAAACCTCATTAAGATAGCCTTATCTAGCCTCAATGCTCGACACACGGACGCCAGCAACTTCCGAACACCATTACTGGTTACAACGCGTACCTACCTATAAACTGACATTTAATTTGCAACTACTCACATTGTCAGTTTCTCAGAAACGACGAAATAATAATGTAATTCGTGCAAAACTTATGATAATCATTACAGAAGCAATAAAAATTTAACTTTATAGAATTGTTGACTTTGATAAAATCCATTACATCATGAAATTTAAAGAATTAAGTACGTTTCGACGTGTCCAATCTTTTATTTGCTTCGCCAACTTTCCTTCTGTGCATTTTAAAGTTCTCTACAATGCGATTTATTTATGCGCTTCTTTTGATAATGCAACCATCTTCAGTAATTTAAAGCTCATTCTTTAAAGATCTTATTCCATTCTCAGCGCTATAGGTTTTTACAAAGTTCACACTTCCCAAGTTGATAACCTTTGGCGATTGGCTTTGGCAACCTATACAATTGTTTATTTGGCGACAACAGTCAGTTTAGATGTATAAATGTCAAATCACCGGCCTAGGGAAATTATAATTGTAGCTTACAAATGTAACTTTTCCGCTAGTTTTGTACATAAAATCATAAATTAATGAAATTAAACAAAAAAACATCTTAATTTCTCAGAAGCTAAATGAAACGTTATTTATTTAATAAATATCAGCATCAAAGAAACGAAATTTTCAAAAGAGCTCTCAAAGGTCGAAGAAAATTTCTTAAGAGCAATTAGTAGAGATGTGTAAAATATTCAATGTTCGCCTTTAATTAAATCAATTAAGACGCACACAGCGGTGGGATGTACAAAAGTACTTCAAGATCCTCCCTACAAGTAACCGAAATAAAATTGTATTGATTGTTAGTCAAAGGTTCGAGGTAGACTTTGACATACGCAATATTTAATTAAACAAGGAATTTGTCCAAAGTTCTTTTACAAGTAATAAAAGTTTTACGTCGACATGCCTCACGGAATCCTTAATTTAACTTTACTGCATTTTAAGGGTTCCTCAGTTATCAAGATAGTTGTAATCAGTTGATGAATACAAAGATAAAGGAATCTCTGAACATTTCGGCGGATATTGAATGGAATTTCATAAATGACGACATTTATTCTGCTCTGCAGGGAGATTTGATGCGGCCAGTAACCGGAACTAGTAATATTATCTGATTTAATTCTTTATTCGTTAATTCTCTTATAAGATTCTTGTTTTAGTCGAAGCTCTCCTTAACGAAACGGATATTAAAATTATAGTCTACAACGGCGTGTTCGATTTCCTGGTTAACACGGCGGGTATGTATAACTATTTCATATTGCGTGCGTATATCATTTTCATCATTTCCAATTTACAATTATTAATAGCATGAAATATGTTAAAGGCAAAGTTTGAAATTAATAGTTGTTACAAACTAGGAACGGCAATGTGGCTGGATGATTTAAAATGGAATCGAAGTTCAGAGTGGCAGGAAACTAATAAACAACCTTTAGAAATTGATATGGTAAATGAAGCTTATGTAAAACAAGTGGGAAACTTGGTCTTCTACACGGTACTTCGGGCAGGTCACAGTGTAAGCTTAATGAATTGCACATTTGTGTTCATTAAATACTACATTTAGGTTCCAGTTGATAACATCCCGGCGATGGAAGAGATTCTTAAAAGGGAACTGCTATACTCCTAGGTCACTATTGTATGATGTATACAGATGTAATAAAATTATTTTTCACGAGTTTTTGTTACTAAGTAATAAGCGCTACACATAAAGCACTAAGTTAACTCCCTCAAAAACCTACAACTTGTTTAAGTTCTTCGGATTGATTTGGAGTAATTATTAAGCTTTCCATGGGCCACTTGCAAATATACATTGTGGCGGCCCAAACTAGAATCATTTCTTTATTTATTCCTTTGAAAGTTACCTTAAAGAAGTTGTCCTGAGCACACCCTGTATATAACTATTTCGCCTGTTCGCTGTTCCTGTATATACGCGCGGCGCATGAGCCGTCAAAGTTAGAATTAAGCCTGCATATGGGCATTGGTCGAACAACATTACATTAGTAATGAATATGTCTGTTAAAAAACAGCATGCCATTTCCTCGAGTTTTATTTGTATAACGCTGTGAAAGCTTTCGTCGTGCTTTCGACACAGCTACCTGGGTTCCGTTGTAGGCTTCAGCAACGGTGTCTACCAAACGGAATACTTGTATTGTTCTAGAACGTTGTCTACGAAACCCGAACTGCCCCGGTCTTATGTTCGGTTGCAGTTTCGTTAGCAGTAACTAGGGAATGCAATACCGGGATCGCGGGATTTGCGGGACTGAGGAATTTGTCGACCAAGGGGACGGCTCTGTTTACTTTGTTAATGAAACGCATAACGGAGAAGTTATTTTTTAAATAATTGTTAAACATTTTTCGTTAAAAATGTACTCTGATTTTTGAGGTACTTTAGAAGTTCGCCTCTTTGTGCTTTATAGGAGACGTTTTTTTGATTTCTAAGTTAGGCCGAAGGTACTTTTTTGTTAAATATTGTGATAAAATTAGCGATTTATTTTAATACAGAAGTTAACCGCACAGAATTGCTTATTTGCCAATTTATTTACAGTTTTTACGGGATTAACATCTAACAATCCCGCAAATACCAGGATTGATATTTTGCTGCGGGATTTATTTATTTATTATTTATTATCCCTCTCTCTTGTTTCTGGGCCCTCAACAGGCTTGCGCCCAATTACAGAGTGACCCGCATATTGCTTTTTAGAGGTGCCTCTGCAGAAGGTCTTAAGTTGTTCTATACTACTCCGATATTTACCTTACGAATTAGGAAAACTGCAGGAAAACCTAATTCGGAGTAGTCGGCAGAATGATCGGAACTGGTCTAAGGTAATTCCCATCTCTGCCACAGATGAAAAATTCATCTCAACCCAGGTTCGAACACCCGACCTCCCGATTTATAGTCCAACGCTCTACCACTGAACCATAAAACCGGATTGCATACCCTAGCAGTACCCTTTCGAAGATCTTCTCCAGGGCTGAGGTACTGAGGGAGATCTTTCGCTTTCTTGGCCTCGGCTAAGGCCTGTAGCAGGGGCTCGGGTGTCCGGGTTTCCGGATGGGATGCTTCTCTGGAGATTCATTAAATTTTGTCCAGTTGGTGATCTCGGTCTGAACTCCAATCCGGAACAACGTAGAACTCGTACGGGTATGGAATCGCCTGCAACACCGTAAAGTCGTGCGCAGGGTTGCCAGGTCACATACCTGCCAAATCTTTGGCACGCGATACACTGAGGCACTTGGCGGCTGGTACCGGAAATCTTGTACCTTCACACAGAGATTTCCGTGATGTCGGAGATGTTGGAAGCACCCGACAGGTTCTTCAGGGTGAGGAGGAAGATGTTGCTTTGATCCTTTCCCTTACCTTGAATCTTGGCAGCGTAAGTGGAACTAAACCCACGAGGTGAGAATGATCCTCGATGATCTCGTCGGGGGTGATATAGGTTGCTAATCTCCTGATTGCAACTTTAGGCTCGCTCTCGGATGGCAGGATGGAACTTGACTTGCCTTTCCGTAGGCCGTAGTAGTAGGGGAGCTAACACGAAATCCACTGAACGAGAATGATCAAAATTGTAACCGATGGTGTTCCATTTTGCCCTATCAGAGTATGCTAAAATCGATCGTCTGCCGCCTCAGGTCATACGACTTAAGGCGCTGCGGGTACTTCTTGTGGTACCAATTCTACAAGGTTGTTTTTCGAGAAAATAAGTTATACACCAAATGAAAACGTTGATAATAGCTCTTAAAAAAATATTTAAAAAAATCGCGCGCATTTGATAACTCCGTAAAAAAACAATTCTTAGTCGGTTTTTCACGAACTTTCTACGGATATAACTAGGTTACCGTTGGAAGAATGAAGCTGATTTTTTTTACAGACTAATGATAGGTACTACTAATGACTTAACGGTGTTTCGTTTTTAAATTTTTTCTCTAATTACAAGATTATCTTATTATCTTAACATTATAAGATATCTTATAATTAGAGAAAAAATTTAAAAAAGAAACACTCTCATAGTCATTGGCTGTACCTATCATTAGTCTGTAGAAAAAATCAGCTTCATTCTTCCAACGGTAACCTAGTTATATCCGTAGAAAGTTCGTAAAAAACTGACTAAGAATTGTTTTTTTACGGAGTTATCAAATGCGCGCGATTTTTTTAAATATTTTTTTAAGAGCTATTATCAACGTTTTCATTTGGTGTATAACTTATTTTCTCGAAAAACAATCTTTCAGAATTGGTAGCACAAGAAGTACCCGCAGCGCCTTAAGTCGTATGACCTGAGGCGGCAGACGATCGATTTTAGCATACTTTGATAGGGCAAAATGGAACTCCATCGGTTAAAATTTTGATCATTCTCGTTCAGTGGATTTCGTGCTAGCTCCCCTACTATAGGTAATCCTGAATTAGGCGAAATACGTCCGAACTGTCAGCGGTGGTGCTGGCTCCCTTTCTTATGGCAACGATGTTAGCTGATCAAGGTTGCAGGCGTAGCTGATAAAGTTTCGTATCTCGTCAACGTAAATAGGCGCCTTATTCGGGGTAGCTTGTTGCTGTCGGAGTGGCATGGCGGTTGAAGATGTAGAAGCGGAGATATTCGAGTAAGAATATATCGTATGGCTGCTGGTGGTGGTTTCGTTACGGGTGTCCATATCAGCTATCTCGGCGGAGTCGGTATCCGTTTTCCTTCGTTTCGTTTGCTGGTTGTTCGGTGGTGGAGGTGGTAGTCGATTGGGAGCGTGTACCTTAAGTGACTATACCGAGGACGGCATAGGTGAAATGTGTGGGCATCTCAATGCGCTGAGCGTCCACGTCGGTTGTATTCATCGCTGTGGCGGCAGCGGTAGCGAGTTGGCTGGTGGTTGCCCCTTCGAGGGAGGGGGTGCATCCTACTCTGAAAAGAGCACCTTTCCGTTACTTTGTGGATCTTAGATTCATGGGCGCTCACTTGGGAGCTTCACCGCTACTGACGGTAAGATGATCGAAACTGTCTGAGACTGCTCGTCGGTTAAACGCGTACGCGATAGCAGCCGATGTAGGTGGTCTGGTCTGAATGAGTGCTCAGAGACAGATGACACCTTGCGGTGGAGCTCGGCCTTAAAAAGCCTGTGGGAGATGGTCACTGACTGGGTTGACGCATACGTCCTCGCTGGCGATGTTTAATTTGACTTTTCGATCGGATCGGGTGACATAGAACACATCTAGGTTATGGCTCGACTACTTCTGTTGAATGGCGTTGGAGCCTGGACTTCTTCTGGACTATAGTAGGTCTATATGGACGTATTCGAAACTGTGGTGGGTGACTGACCAGGGAATTATCTCTGACCGCTTGTGCCTTGTCATGTTTGTCCATCGGTTATAGTATTTTTTCAAATGCATTTGGCTCCTGGATATGACAATCGGTGTAGGTTTGTGTGTATCAACTTGGCATTACGAATGGTCTGACTTTCGCCTAAGAGACATCACAATAGATGAACTTGCTCGTGCTATACGAGGAATTTCTTCAGGGTTGGTTCTTGCGCAATCCACGATCCTCCTACCGCGAATGCATCTGTCGCGATCATTAGTGGTGCGTTCATTATAGGGTGATGCACTAAATTTTTGTAGTGTTCTTCGTACTTAGATCTTGACTTAGTTGGAAGTAGTGCATCTATAGTACCATTTGCAGATTTGCAAGAATGTTCATGCGAGCAAACACAAGAAACTAATCTATCCCACAAATCATCTATAGCTATGCAATTAACTTGTTTAAAATTACATGCATTTTTTCCTCGATTTTTTTCTTTTCATTAAAGAAACGTATATTCGTTCTAACTGTTTAATTAAATTATGTGGCACGTCAATCCACACCAAAAGCTGTCCACACTACCCTGAAAATTATCAACCCGATCCTTGTGATACTATAGTTGAGATGTAATGTAATATGGATGCAATATGTTGTACTGTAAGGTATTGCCGGTTAAGTCCATGATTATCGTTGTATTGCTAGGAACTCCATGCAATTTGTGTTATTAATTCTATAATAGTTTAGATAAACCTCTCGCCAGGAAAGATTGCAGAAGACCTGATCCCGGTCCACAATCTGTGTTCTAAAGATGTGAGCGACTTCCGGGCTAGGATCGTGCCAATGCTGAACGAAAAGACATAGCACAGCTTACTTACTAAGTAAGCTGTGGACATAGATTGTAAATTGACAAAAGGTGTGCTGTGACCGGCAATCTTTCCTGGCGAGAGTTATATATTTATTAATTGTGTCATTTAATAAATCACTTACCTGTGTTTCATGTATATACAATTTCTTGGATAATTATTTAATTTCTAACTCTCTTGTGTACCTGCGACAGCGAATCAATCATACTAAATACTCCAGCATTTGCAATGAAATCGTTGACGGAAAGATAGATAAGAAATACATTACAAGCACGCTTCTTTTTATGTCCACCCCCACCTTCAATTCATAATGTAAAGGTATAATGGTATTCCATTTTATCATTTTCGGCGTCTTTCAATTCTGACAATATAAACTAAAACGGAAATTATTATTTACTTATCTTTTCTTTATGCTTTTCTCACTGGAAAATTCAATATCGAAGGTTAAAGTTGAACAATGTCCCGAATTTTACGTGATAACCTTACATTTATACCCGTAAGAAAGTAATTAATTCCTTTCGGTTTCTCTTTTTG